ACTGCATTATGTTACGTAGTAATAATAAGCGAACTCGTCGCGATGTTTTCCGATTTTTTGCAAATCTGTTAAGTGTAACGGTCGAGTTCGAGTGCGTAGACCAATCGTAGTAATCGTACATTTATACACCGAACTATCCTCGAGCCGCGCAGGTTTTGACACGCAACATCATTAATTGGATACCCTTTTTGCTTGTATTATTATAGGTATATATATTCACCTATTATGTGTGAGGAGTAAATTTGAATTTTACTTACAAATAATATTACTCTAAAGCTATTTTTTTTTATGTCACGTTATTTTTTAATTTCGTAGGAATTAATGTTTGAGACGGTTGAGTAATATTGACAGATATTTTAAATAAAAAATAACTATGAAAATATAATATACTACCGCGTTGCTCACTCGGCGGTGAGGGGCAGTGGCGAATCGCTTTATCTGCACCTGCAGCTCGAACTGCACGCTTCCGCTATATTATGGGTGGTTACCTCATCGTACGCAGGTATTATGGTAGATACTCTGACTGAAAAATGCATAATGATTATAATATTATGGTCATATATTATTATTATTATTATATTTAACAATATAATAATAAATAATAATATACGACCGGAACAAACAAATATTGTCGTATTGAACGAACGAACAACGAAGTACCTACTCTGTGATAAACGTCTTTATTATAATATAAAGGCAACTAAGTGCACATTATTGATAATTATTCTCTCGTAGTGTTACACTACGATAACTATTATTATGTGCAGAACTACATTAAATTATAATTTAATAAAGCTCGACAGGCGACGGGCGTACCTGCAGCTTTGAGCACGTGCAGGTATATCGTGTGATCCGAGTGTGCTTTTCGCCCGAGAATACGATTATCGTGTGAACTCGGTGCACCGCAGTCGAGTTTCATATTATGTATTATTATTATTATTATTATTATTATTATAATTATTTATATAACGCGATGCACCATAAGAACTTAATGATATTGTGTGATAATAATAATAATACGCGTACGCAGATATATATGCGCATTGCGTGCAGTATCGATTTTCTTCGACGATTTCGCCGAGACGCGATGACGTGTACAGGTTAGGTTATAGGTATATATATTTTAATATAATACTGCTGTTACTTCGAGCGGAATAATATAATCCGCCATAATATTATACTGCAGTAGCTCGCGGTCAAAATCATCAAGCGTCTCTGTCCGACCCTCCCCGGCGGCGGCCCCCTCGCCGCGCCGTCATTTTCGCGACGCGTTTCGGCTCGGAATATTATTCCTCTTCGTCCGCGATCGCCATCTGCGCGTGCAATCCACACAGCGGTATCTGCACACTGCAGGTGTAAGATTTCGCCCGTGGTGTATACACACGCACAATACGATATTATAATACATTATTATTTATTATTATTATTATGAGTTATAACGGATCGCTCGTGTAATCCGAGAGACCTGTGTGCAGACATTATTATCGTCGAAGGGTACACTGCTGCAGCGGCGGGGTCTTTCGAATCGTGTGCGACGAAATCGGTGGGGATCGCCGAGGAACTTGTAATATCGTAATCCCGCTGGCACTTTTGTCGCACGAAAATATAATAGGTATAATATTGTATGAAATACCCAACGTGCGAACGGTACCCAACCTATATACATGATATTTACGAAGATTTATTAGATCGGAAAATAATAATGATAATATCATCTATACATGCGACACTAGGTAATTCACAATCCATTCCATCTGCAGAAAATTCGTTAATCAAACTAACGATTACATTTTTATCGGTCTGTACAGATCTTTTTCGTTTGTTAATGCGCGTCATTTAATTATAGGTATTACCTTCACGACTCTCCTATAACGTCATTCATTGCGGAAAACACATTCATACATACCGAATCGTCGATTCTGCGTTCATTTTTCAGAACTAGCTGTAAAACCTTTTTGATTTCTTTCTTCCTTTCAAACACGCAATAGCTAAATGGCATTGTTAGCAACGTCATTTACGTCACATCGACACTGAAAATATGTTTAACGCGCATTTGACTGAAACCTTTTTCAATTTTTTTACTATATACTTTTATTTAATTTAATACAACATACAGATATCAATAACACGACCTGAGTTTTTTAAAAAGTGTCTCGACCGACGACAAGACATTGTAATTATTATATCATACGCTTCTTCGATCATTGAAGGCGTTGCGTCCTTCTCTCTAACACACACATGTACCCTCCAAACTCGAGCTTTGACGCGTATAGAACATCGCGAGAGCTTACACTAATTATTATTATTATTATCGGTGCGTGTGTTTGAGTTCACACGTGTGTCGCAATTATTTGCATTTAGTGTCGGGCGGCGGACGACTTCCAAGGGTCGGACCCCATACACTATGTGTGTGTGTGTGTGCAGCGTGTGGGCCGAAAAAGGTCGACGACCGTCCCGGGCGGCGGCGGTGGTTATATGAGCATGCCGCCGACGGCTGAACTGTAATGTACACACTCTCTCCGTCCATCTGCAGCTGCAGCATCTATCTCCTCTCATCACAATCGCGTCGTTTTGGCACAAACAGTTTTCTTTCATCCGCGGCGGCCCACGTTAAATATATAACGAGACCTCGGTGTGTATATATATATATATTACCTAGGGTTAAATACCAGGCGCACTCGGCCTGTGCACCACTGTATGTGTATAATATATACATATATATGTGTGTGCAGTGCACATAATTATTCGCGACGGTGGATCTAATCAAAATCCGAAGGGGCCGCCGCAATTATATAGGTACGGAGCGTATATAAACATAATATAGTGTTTGCGGCGCCTCTGAAGTCCGCTCGTCCGCAAACTACCTCGATTAAAAGCTCTGCATACAAACCGTTTTGTCGTTACCGTAGACGTAGGAACGAGGTCTAGGCGATTATTGCACTTTAATATTATTATTTTCGTGCACCTTCACAGTCACAATCACAAGAATCAAATAATTTATTTTCAATTCAACGGCAGTTTGAACTTTAAGCTCGTTAAAATATTACATTGCATATCCTTGCAGAATAATAGCATATAATTTATTAAAATCTATTATAGTTTACAAGTTTACTATATTATTCTTAGAATAATTCTATACTATGGGAATACAATATGATAATGATACCAACTGGACGCAGTCAGCAGTTAAAACGATCACTTTAATGACTGCAACATTTTTATTAATTATCATCGATATAAACTGTGCAAATGGTTTAGCTCAGTTTACCATTTTTTGAGTTTAAACTTAAAGGTTATTCGTCGATGACCAACGTCTGACTTTTGTTAAATGGTATAGCAGACGTCAAGAATAAAAAAGTTGAAAGCCAGTGGTGTGTAAGTATATAGCTCTGCAAACACCAGTAAAATCGCGCCTGCCCGACCGTATAATTATTTTAATATTATTTATTAGTTTATTACTTAAGTAAGTACACTGCTGTGTTGCGTATTATATACAAAATAATATAACAATGTTATATGTGGTCGTTTCTCGCAGGCAGTCTTCCAATATTCAAGTGGTTATTCAATCGCATATCTGTGATGCACCCATGTCCTGAATACCTATATACAATCCAAAAGCTCGTTTCCACCGCCCCGGGTACATTATACCACGTCGTACCTGATATTATGAAACCGTTCGGGCTGCTCGCAGAAGCTTGTAATAAATAAAAAATGTGAAAAAAACGCACCTACAGGTCGCCGTGTAAAATGCGACTATTATTGTACACGACGGGTAAACCCGGCAGCGCATGTTCAAATATAATAATGTATATTATTATACACGATATCCTGCAGCCGGCCGCCGGTCTTTTTATGATGATTGTGAATTATTGCTAGCTGCCCCGACCATATAATAAACGCGTATCGCGGCCAGTTTCACGAAACTCATTTCGGCAGGTTCTCCTGATTTCTATACCATCGTATTATGTATACAACCTACCTATTACACACACACACACACACACACACACACACACACACACACACACACACACGAGTACGCGTATCGTAGTGTTATTTACGTAATTGAATGGGCNACACACACACACACACACACACACACACACACACACACACACAGACACGAGTACGCGTATCGTAGTGTTATTTACGTAATTGAATGGGCTCGTTGGTCGTGTGGCCTACAGAATAATAGCAAAACATGATATAATATTATAATGTGGATTTAATATGTATGTGCCTAGTAGTATATGTACCTACCTATGAGCACTGCGATCGTCCTCGCCCGTCGAGCTTGAACGTGATATTTTTTCGTCCATCGCCGTACCTGTGATATTTTATGTATACAGAGGTTTAATACCTGTATATAATTTCGATTTTTTTCATCCGGCCTTCAGTCGGCCAAACACTGTACTTACCTCTACGTATTATTAGGTAGGTACGTTATAATATACACCGGGTTAACAGCAGTGTTGGGGGCACCTATGTTATTACAATATATGGGCACACTCGAAATACGTCACGCATAATATTATAGGAGTGTGATTTATAGATTTGGTTTGGCACAGCCGGAATCGCAGGATAATACGATTAAGTGTTGTGTAGTTGAATCGAACCTAATCCTTCGAACGCGTACGACGACGTGTAAGGACCGACACACTGCAGCGCACTATATATAATAATAATATTGCGTAGTATTATATAGCCTACTTGTATTGTGTATACGTATTTATATACAATGTTGTAACTTATATTCAATGTTATAATTATGTTAATGATATATAATTTTACGTTCAATTTTTCGATGAATAGGTACACATATTATAATAATATAGGCTAATAATAACTCGTTTTGGAAATTTGTAGTGCCAACTCCAACTGTCAAAACGCATTCGAAATATTAATGTTTCGTCGCTCAACGACCATGGCGCCACCACACATTATAAGTATTTATACTGTCGAATAGGTATGCAAAATAAGCTAGATAGCAAAAATATTTTATAATATTTTAATAGTTAATTAAATTTTGACATTAACACGATGTAAGAGCGGTGAAAACGGTTTGTATCGATATAATATTAAATCCGTACATCGTACTAGGTAATACAACTACACTATAATCACTCGACAAATTGCTACGATGCGTGATCTTACTTATATATTTTAAAATAATACAAAAGTTCAATTATATTTTAAACATTATCACATTTCAGATTTCTCATCCATTTACTAGTAACTATAATATAATGTACATAATGACTATTATCATATTATAATATGACATTTTAATATTATCAGTAAAAATTAAACAAATACATTAATCATTGACATTGTTATAGGTAATATTATTATATTGTTATTGTCTTCGGGTTCGCCGGCACGTCATGCAAATATCATTCAAATTGTTTGCTCCTGAAAAATAAATAATTGTTTTTTGTTTAACGATATTGACAGTTATTTGATGATTTGTTCAAACATTATTAATATTGAATATTATATTCGACCTTAGCGTACTGTTATAGAAAAACACTTATAATAAATTGTTCGTCTCGACCAAAAAAACCAGGAAGAAAATATGCTGATTAATATAATCAGGATTTTAATAAACCATTATTATTTTTATGTAGAAATCACAATTGTCATAATGACTAAATAAATTATCGACCCATATCACGTCTATATTTGACCTACTGCGCGTTATTTTCGTTTAGAATTAATTACGACGTATTAACATATTTTGCCATTCGTTCGATCTACCAATGGTGAGCCTTTTTTCAAAAGCACTTTAATTTATAATATATACATGCCGTATACTCTTATATTAATCCTACGGTTTATCTTTCTTACAAAAATACACGTACACTGATATATAACACGACAGTCTTATTTATAAAGAAGACACGGTATACATAGGTACACTGCTATAGTCGACTGCAGTGTCTCACCTAAACACCATTAACATACATTTCTGTCTCTCAGTTAAACTAACTCAAATCGAAAGAGAAAGACTTACCTATATTAATGATCGATGTAGCCATTATTATTTATTATTATGGTAAATTTTCGATAGATAGGCCACGACGTATAGTGAGAATTAATATTTTTGAATGCTTACTTTATTGATTTTTTTTTAACGTTACTCGTATTGTTTCGCTTTAAAAATTAAAATATAGAGGAAAAAACTGGCGTACGATCGTGCATTAAGTTCCCCTTTTTTTACAGTCGACGATGGCCGATTTTCAGTTGAAGCCTTTAAGACCCGCTGTGATGGAAATATACACGTAGCAAAGTTTTTTCTATACTTAAAACGTTAGTGTGGAGTCCTCTTAAAACCACACAGCCACGTTAAAACAGAATTTTGTATACAGAATGTGCATTGGCGCATGCGCGTTTTAGTGAATAATATGATATTGTTCAAAACCCGTAAACAAATATTGCAAAGTCTCTCCCAGATTTCGGCCCACCCGATTATAAGTGCATAATATGTATATTGTACAATACACACACACACACACACACACATATACATTCGATTCATTAGAAGTTTCGTCAGGGGTGGAGTATCAAGTATATATTGAACGAAAACTTTTTTTGCTGTCAAATCCCGTCTTAGCCAAATCACAGCCGGGTTAATTAAAATAGCCATAGCTTGGATTAAAACCGAGTCGATTTGGCCGCAGGCCGACATAACCCTTTTGCGGTTTTCCCCGAGAGAATCGTCTACCCCCGCCCCCGCCTGCAGCAGCAGCAGCACCGCATTCAATAATGCGATCCCCCGATATATCTTCACAATAGAACACCGAGAGCTCTTCGGAGGGTGTGGTAATCGTTATATGGTATCCGATACGTATACGCCATACCATATTATGATGTGATGTATACGGTAATCACGTATGGCGAATTTGTTTGCAGGGAGACTGCCGCTGGGGGCAGGGAGAAAATATGTCGAACCATAAAAAAGGGGTTAAATCGAAGGTGAAATCCGTATTAGTGCCGCGGCGGCGAAATATTATGCGAATACATAAAAACCGCTTACGATCAGAAAAAAAAATAATAATTTAAAAGGCTGATTACCTCGACGCGGACAAAAGAATTTCGCGTTATTGTAATAATAATTCCAGTCAGCACCAATGGAGCCGTCGAGCGAGCGGGGTAGTATTCATCGAATGGCCCCGAGGGAGGGAGAAAGAGATTGATATCGTGAAAGGGAGAGAGAGAGAAGGAGCCAAAGCGAATGAGAGCGAGTGAGAGAGACGGAGTGATTGAGTGCGTTAAGCCAAAAATCACAATGATCGGCACACAATTCGCAGTTAATTTCTGAATATTTTACGGGCTCTTATATATATTATTATATTCGTAAAAATATATTGTATAGAGTCGTCCGCATAGAAATCGTTTCGCTAGTGATGATAATATCACGGCGTTTCACAACGTTCAATATTTCGAAACCGGTAATTAATTCATTACGATAATCGATTCAGGAAAACGACTAACGAGAAAATGTCGAGTAAAAGTGTACTTATATAGTATTTAAGATAATATTATAAACGACGATGGTGTGTGTGTATTCTCGGGCTCCACATAAAAGTTTAAAACGGGCCGGTTTTCATATATATAATACCTACGACGTACTTATCCGGCCTGTGTAGCCATAAAATAAAATATTGTAATCTTTATTTTTTATGCCCGGTGTTTCGTGGACAATCGTAAAACAGACCTTTCCAAATAATATAATATTACACTCACGCGAACGAGTTTTCACTACACATAATTAGGTTGGCAGATACGTCGTAGTGTTGTTATTATCGTTAGACAATAATTATTATACACATTTATTACCCAGCGCGTCGTATAACAAAATGGATATCATTCCGCTGGAAATTATGTCATTTATTCCGTATCTATATATATAAATATGTAAAGTTTGTAGCAAGCGCAGTATTATAAGTATAGTAGTGGCTTAAACGGACGGAACACAAAATTACGTCAAATTGTCGTCGAACAAAGAGACGGTTTGACGTTTGTGTGTGGGTCATTATACACGAAGATAAATGAATATATTTTTGAAAATTCCCCTCGTCCCAAAAACCGTATTGCACAATAGACCGTGCAGTATATACGGGATGCCCCCCGAAGATTTACTAATTCTAATAATTAAGGACCGAATGGGCTGCTTTTGAATTCTATACAGGGTGATTTACTAAGGTTGCCGATGTTTTTAATGGTAGCACAATGGTATACACAAAGTATACATTATACCGTACGCATCCTTTGTGCGACGACCATTTTGGATTTAGTAACTTTAACGAATCGCCGTGCGTCGAATAATTGCTGCTGTATCTCGCAGCTTATATGTACACATCGGACGGGGTAGCTTTATAACTATAATGCAAGTAGGTTTTTATTACAATTTCACATCCGCCCGAGTTTATATTATTATTATAAAATACACACAACTATTATTATAATGCAATATTGTTGTTACGACTCTGCTGCAGCAGCAGCAGCAGCAATGTTTGTACAGATTACCGATATCATATAGTGATGCAATATGCACAGAATAATAATTATTTCCCACAGCGATCTGTATATTAATATTGTGTACGCCACTAAGCGAGTGTTACGATAATAATATTAACCTAACTATATGAATTTAAATATTATCGACTAAAAATTATCATAATTCAATACATAATTTATTCCATCGCAGACAACATTTCCGAACACGTGCGTTGTGCACATAAGGCTTAAAATTATTTTAAAAATAAGGTTCATACCGCGTTTCGGAACTGCGTACGCTCCGAGTAAAGGATTTAAACGTCGCCGAGCATAAAATATATTATATCGTGTAACTGCACTGCAGCGTCGTACGTTATTGTGTTCCTCCGTAGGTGGCCCTGGAAACGAATCGAAAGTTTGGCGTTACACGCACCAGACTGCATTCACACATGAAACAAACAAAAAGTATAAAATAAAAACACACTGAAACGCATTACATACATTCGTATACATACATGCATAATATAAAGGTATATAGTCAACAATTACGCTTTGTACAAGTTTTGATGTTTATTTAGTGCGCACAACGGAGCGTAAATGTATAATTTATTCAATTTTAAACTTTGAATTGTAGGCTGGTAATTTGGAAGTTTGTTTTAAGAGTGGGTACCTTGTATTATAGTTATATATTACTTGTACTAGCTGTTTGTTTATCGTAGTAATGATTTTTTAAACTTTCGTTGGTGATAATTTCGCAACATGTTTCAATAATGATATAAATAAATTCCCATATAAATTATACAAATTATGGCGTATATTATACTAAATATTATATTATAGTCGTAATTGCCTATTAGAAGAAACATGCCTCACTCGCAGCTGATAATAATATAATATTTCGCTATCGGCGCGTGTTTGCATCACATTTAAATCGCGACGGCGGCGGGTATGTCGGTTTTGACACTAATTAATGAGTCGGTTGACTCGAATGATTTACGTACGTTAATACTCGAGCATCGGATCGGAAAACACGAGCTTAGAATCATAAATGAGATGTGTCATCGCATAACACCCTCCTGTAAATCGTATGATTTCAGCCGAAAAGGGTGAAATATATGTATAAAGATATATCACAATATATACGAGATGTTCCACCGGCCAAATGCGACGAATATCGGAATACTACTACTACTACTAATAATAATAATAATAATAGTAGGTAAGTGCGTATATTATGTAGCTTAATACGTATAGGTACGTTAAAAACTAAAACACTTTCAAAAAGTTCCATACAATACGATGCAAACGGTGTTGTTGAAATTTGAACCAGCCAATTAAGTATATTTCTATTACACATCATACTATAAGTGTATATATTCTTCACCTATAGGTACAAACAATAGTTTATAATGACTCGAATACTCGATATATATATAATAGTGTGCACTGTGCAGCAGTTAGGGAAGTGTGATCGGTCTCTGATATAACTTTTTTCGGTACTCGTGTAGTATGCAATACCAAGCAAAAAACTATACGCATGTAGTAGGTATGGCTACCTATACCGGAAAATATGACATACCACCTGTCATTTACTAATTCTTATAGATGTTTTATTTTTTTGATTCATTTTTTTAAGGAAAAGTGCTGTGACTTGAGTTACTTTAGTAATGAACAACATATTATAACGGTGATACTTATAAATATATCCTATATAATAGCTAAATAGCATCGTGATAACTTACTATTAGATATTTATACTATTTTGGTCTATGATATGTCCTACAACCTCGGTAGGTTGAGCAAAAAGATTTATTAGATTGTCAACTAAAATAGGAATGGTGGCGGTTCATCACAACGCAACACGACAATTAATTTGAATAGTTTTCTGAGATGACGCAAAAACAACATAACAATTTATAACATATTAAAATACTTGATGATCGTTAACAATGATACATTAAGTAAATTCCAGTTTAATAAATTGTTATTTATCAATAACCAGGTATGGGTTAAATGCGATGAACACCCGTAATAATTTGGAAAGTATAGTGTTTTACGGTGGGTAGCATACTACACGAGTACATTTTTTCATGAAATCAATATTTTTGAAAATGCCTTTTTTGAAAAAAACATCATATACTGTGTGTCATTACTACAGTTTTTACTGTTGTAATGAGTATGGACGATAAACGTTCCTAATATGTATCATGTGTATTAAACACCTTGAGATAATAATATTACAATGCCATCGTTAAAAAACTGTGGTCCATTTCCCCAGCACCCCCACCTTAAATTTCTTGTTGATACCTATATCAATCGTTTGTAGTTTTAAGTATACCGTTCGTTCGCAGCTCGACGGTTTTAAATTTTTCAAATCATACCAGATTCACTTATGGAGTACGTGGAACTATACGATTGTTAAAATGTATAGTACATATTATGCAGACGTCGATTTCAATTAAAATAATCGAATGCGTCTCGCGAGATATTGGGTCCTCGCCTGGTCTCATGAATATTGCAGAAGTGTCGATAAATATTGGTGGATCGATGGCTGCAGGATGTACTTCTGCTAAAGCGATAAAATATGTTATATAATATAATATAGATTCAAACTGTCCGGGATAATATATATTTATATTATATCGTGTGTAATGCGGACGACTTCACAGCAGACGTCTCAAAAGTGTATACACGAAATACGTTTTTACGACTCGACCGAAACCACTATACGCAATTGGAGTTGTTTTTATTGTCAGCACACCACCGGATATCGGGCGTGTGTATGTTAATGGCGCAAAGTGCATTTTTCGTATTAATACGCGTCTATATAAATACAATACATGTATATATTATTGTAAAAAATACGACGTGTTTATATACACGGACGCCGCCGCAGCGAAAACCGACGATTTATTATAATTTTACTCATTAATGTCTGACGTTATTTTACACATTATAATATATTATTATTTAAAAAAAAAAACAAATTTTTGCCGATCGTGACCGTTTAGTACAGACGCATTTGCTAAATTGTCCGTGCCGGCGGCGGCGGCGGCGGGCACGTGTACTTATGTATATTATATTATTGTAATATGCTTGCTTTTAGATATGTATACGGAAAAATTTCAGCGACGACGAAACGTCGGTATCGTAACGCGACTTCGGCACAAAACATAAATAATAATAATATTATATTATACTATTCACGCGTGTGTGCGGCTCGTGCAGAGTGTGAACAATAATATTATATTATATTGAACGCGCTTATATTTATAATTTCATAAAAAGATGTGTTGTGCGCGGAGGATAAATGCGTACAGCTCAGCTATATAGTTCGCACGCCATCATCGGATTGCGATTCTTCGCTGCGTATACATATTTCGTGTCTTGTGTCGGCCCGGCGCGCACCACAATGGAACAGAACACAACACAATATAGTTGGCACCTATACCCCCAACGATAATATAAATATATAATATCATAAAACGAGCACATGACCATGGTACATCAGCTGGTATATATAGGCTATATATTATACTATAATATATTGTATAATAATATGTGTCTGCACTCTGCACGGTGTGTACGCACAAAACGGAAGACGCGAGAGAGACGACCCGCCGTGGAAATGGGGTGACGGGTGCAGCAGCAGAGGTGTGCGGGTGTCGTCGTCGTCGAAGTCGAAGGGCTGCTGCTGCAGCAGGGCGGGGGAGGAGCGCCGTTAAAAGCTCCCCGAAAAGAGAAATCGGTTATTAATTATTTACGTGTCGCGTACCGAATGCGTTCGTCCCCGCGAGTCTCCGCGACCCTATATACACGAATAATATCGTGTCGTCGTTGCTGCAGCGCCTCAGAGGGGGTGACTGCTGCAGTATATATATATATATATATTATACGACATTATACTGCATCAGTCAGCGTCGTCGCCGACCGTAGTCGGAGGGTGGTGAAGACGATATATAATAATCAAAAGGAAGATGCAGAGACAAAGGAATCCAACGCATCGTCGATAGGCGCACGACTACTCGACGATGAGCCGAAAATTATTCCGTTCCGTCCGCTAACTAGGGTGTCATACACTCCGCAGCAATATAATGGGATGCAGGGGGGGGGGTGGAAAATAATATTAAAATAAATACAGAACATAATATATCCATCGCAAACGCGGCGACATAGGGATATTATCATAGGTAAGGTTACAAATATAATATAACAATGCATTCGTACTTCAAAAGAAACGGACCGATAGCAATAGTTAAAGACAGCAATTGTTTATAAACAATCATACAAATCATAAGTTTCGGTGCGGCACGACGAAGACCTACGGTAATAAATGATTAGTCTGCGAATGAACTGCATGTAGTTTTGCAGCGACGATCAATTATTTTTTTTATCATGTCAAAAAGTCATAAAAACCATTGACTTTCCAAAATAAATAACTTAAAAATATAATAAAGTATGATGATAAAATATATATTTTACTACACTATACACCTTTAGGCATTATATACCTATATTACCTATAAATAGTACATGTACAACAGTATACGCCGGATCCCGAAAAATTGTTTTAACGGTTTGCTGAATTCTTGAAAAACCTTGGTCGAAAAAGCGTATTGAAGTTTCAATTCGTGTGAGTAGTAGGTAGGTAAAATGATAATAAAAAAATAAAACGCATTTTCAATTATTTTCCGTCGCGCTTTTCTCGTGTTTTTTCTTTTTTGTACAGCTTTAATATGCATTGCGATTTATTGCGTCGGTGCGGGAACACAAAAATGTATAATACGATCAGAGTTTAAACGAACAAAACGAATGGAACTAATAAGGGTTTAATAAAAAAAAAAAAAACGTATTTTTAAGATAATTGAATTCCATCATCTTCGTCCGTCCGTGAAGATCCTCTACGCGCGCGGCAGCTTTACAACAAACGGCGGCCCGTATTAAAGTTTTTACTTTTCTTTCTAACAGTCCCATTTTTCACGATTCCGTTGAAAACATCCGATTGGTTTTGAGATCAAAACGATTACAAGAGTGTGCCTATTACACAAATATTCCTCGGAATAATAACGTTTATCAGCCGCGATGACGTGCCGCAGACGAGTCAATTAAAACAAAACGTGTTTTGTTTCCAACAACCCGCGTCGAGGAAACAATGTTATCATAATTAAGTATTATTACTGTATATTGAGATATGTGCGGACAAAATACACAAGTACATTGATTATTGAAAGGAGGACAACATACTTGTGATTTTTTTTTATTTTATCTGAAAGTGGTATTGCTTTTGAAACAATCATATAATACAATAATAATAGGTGCAATAAATTATTATACATTAATATCTACTTGTGACAAGCAATAAAAATTAATAACAAAAATCGACGAAATGATAAGTGTTTTTGAACTTTAACAAAACAATGGATATTTTTGTTGGTAA